TGTCACTAGTCACAGGTTGTCCATTCTTCCTCCTTTCACGTACAAATTCCAAAACTTTTTCTTCAATTTTAGGATGTCTTCCTTTGCGAGGGCCAGTGAATTTCTTTCTACTAACTTTAGTTGCAAACAGTGCCAATTTCTGTTGCCGCCACCAGCGAACATTGCTCTCAGCTACGTTGAACTCTCTCCCTGCCTTTCTATTGCCATTTTTTTAAGCATAAAGAATTACTTTATGTTTGAAAGTAGCGTCATATGACATTCTTCTCTGTTTTCCCTCCATTTCGTGACTACGTACTCTGCAGTTTGTATCCTCTATGCAATAATGTGTCAACGATAAATGTAACGGTAAATGTAGTCGAGAAATACAGTAATCCGTTGTTACGATTTAAATTTGGTTGACATCATCGGCGAACTGCTGACGTCATCGGCGAACTTTGCACTCGAATCTAATGCGCACCCCAATTTTGAATACTACATTTGGCCAAAAACGATACGCATTAGATTCGCATAAATACGGTATATTGAATCGAGCCTTAGAGCTTTCTTCCTGCCAAACTTTTAATGACAGTTGTCATTTCTTTCCGTGAGAATGGATATGATCTCCTTTTAGGGAAGGACTGGTTTGTCTTATAAATATAATTGTATATATAATATATCATTATAAATATCTGAAAAATTAAAATTTCGATGAATTGATTTATATTTTCATAGAAAGAAAGCTTCGTTGTTTTCCACATGTGTAATGGATACAAGTCCTTTGTTTTTAGAAATTCATCTACAAAAGCATCTTTTACCTTAAGCAGATGGTATTCGAGTGATTTGCCGTAATCAAGTATACTAAACCATAGTAGAAATATTTTCTCCAGAACAGTAATTTTTTGTGGCAGGTTTTTTGGAGTGAAATACGAGGTTTGCTTTGCACTAAAGCAAAGATTAATAGCATGTTGTAAACTAAAATAATAAGCTTAAAATTTCTGAGAATTAAATCTTTCCAATTTTACTTGAATTTGCTTCAGTGTGTTTAATTAAGATTTTAATGTCTACATATTCTTAAAGTATTAAGAGCAGATAAAAATTACATGTGTTAAATGTGTTTACATGTCCAATGCTCTTTTAGAGTACGAACATCAAAGTATTAGTTCGAAGGACGTATGCATAATGGAAAAATTTACATAAAAGGAGATTAATTATTTAGGGCAATAAAATATGAATTACAACATTTTGAATTAATAAAATTAAGTGAAACAAAATTATTTTATTTTATTTATTTATTTATATGTGCAAATGTTTGAATTTAAATCGGGTATTTTATTACCTGAAAAACTGCCCTGTTTAGGGAGGAATTCCGTTTCGGCAAATGAGCATCCCCAGAAACAGAACAGCCTAGACTTTTCTTTTATTGCTTTATTTGATAGAACATATTTTCGGGTTTATGTAACAAGCTTCTTTTCATTTCTGTGTTAATAGCGACAGAACCAACTGAAAATTTTATGAAGTAGGACAAACCCGAATTGAGAATTCAAGAGTAGCTATTTAAAGGGCTGGAAATCTCTTAGAAACTAATTTAGAGAGAAAATTTTGAAATTATACTTTCAGGAAAGTTTTCTGGTAATAATAGTAATAAAATAGATGTAATCAAATATGCATATACTTGACAATTCAAAAGTATGTCGATTTCTGATATCGGAAGAAGACGCGTAAACTCAACTAAAGTTTTGATTGAAAAGCTGCAAAATTAATATGGGACTGCAATTTGCAGTAAATGCCAAAAATCTTCAAAGTATGCAAAATGTAAAAATTGCAACAATGTTCTATCGCTTTTCAAATGTAAAGCGGCCAATGTGACTACGTAGTTAATGTATTGTCAATCCCGGTGCAAATTTGAGCGAGCTGTAGGTACTGCAACAAATCAGAGGGAACTGAATAAAGTCACAGGGAACTGAAAAGTAAATAAGGTATTTCTCCTTCCTTTCTGTACGCTTTCGTGTATATATGGAAGTATATATACGATATCGTATATTGGTATAATTGGAAGCACACTCGACTCGTATTCGAGTGGTCCGGAGTTCGAATCCCGTTGAGGGCAATGCACATTTCTTCAGTTTACTGACACTGAAAAATTCTAATGCTAAACAATTCTAATTCTACAGTGGCGTCCAAACTAAAAAGTGGTGGGCTATAATTCGTCACCACCAGGATTTGGCGGCTGGTTCCCCTCTCCAGTCTCCCTGCGAAAGGGAGAGTATATAAAATATTTTCTCCTTTCTTTTCGCCTGCCTTCTTGGTGTAACTGGAAGCACACTCGACGCGTATTCAGGAGGTCCAGAGTTCGAACCTCGGCGAAGGCACTGTATATTTTTCACTTCTGCAGCATCAAAAAATAACCTAATGACTCTACAAGCATGACCATAATAAAGCATGTTTATATGAAAGTGAATTATCCAAATTCATTAGCAAAATTGTTTATAAGGGAGAACACAGAAAGCAAGCAAGAGGTACAAAGGTGACTATGAAAGATTAATCTGAAAAAAATTTTTTTTAAATAAATCCTAAAATTTATGGGCTGTCAAACAAATCTAAGAAAGTTTTAAAAGTTTATTAGACTTTCTTGAAAGTGTTTATATTCATCCTGAGGCTTAAACATTCAAAATACTTTTCACAGTTGCAAGAATAACGAACTAGCGATTCCGGAAGTTCTTCACTAAGATAAAAGTTGTCAGGAATCGAATAATTTAACTAAAGAGGAAAAATGGCTAAAAGTGATCATGAGAAGGTATGGCCTGTACATGTGTGAAGTTATAGGTTCGTTATTTATTTTTTACCCGAGTATAAATATACAAATATGAACTTAAAGTTCCTTTTCCTCAGAACTTATAATTTCCTTACTGCAAAAATCATAGTTCAGAATGCTATTATCCCATTTTTATGAAACTCTTATAAGATATTTCTCTTGCCTTCCTAGCGTGACTTCGAGGTGTAGTGGTTCTGCACGCTGGGGCGGTATTCCAGAGATCCGTAGTTCGATTTCTAGCGATGGCGTTGCTAATTTTTCATCTTGCCTGCTTCCAAAATTACCTAATGTCTCTACACTCTGAATACCTTACCCTTATACTGCTTTTAATACACATACTAAAAGAAATTTTTTGTTTGAGTATTTCCTTAATAATGGCTTCCTCTTTTGAATTACAACATGGTAAATGTGCTCGAAATTCTTGCAAGTATTCTTGGATTAACTTTAAAAGTTTTTTTTTTATTATTATAATATCTTTTGAATAGTTGTACAAGCACTGGATGGCAATGTATAGTTTATTGCAGAGAGATAATTATTCTTAAATAAGTCTCAGTATCTTTCTAGTAACCTTTTTGAAGACTCTGAAAAATGTCCTTTATTTTTCTACTTAATAAATATTCTCTGAACTAATGAAAATTTATTTCAAGTATTGACAGTCTATCTTTAACATTTAAAATAATAAAGCTACAAATTAGGCCTTTACGTATGATATTAAAATAAAGTGTTCCAAACATGTTCGGATACCTTAAAAACTTGCTAAGTTACCTATTTAACTACTATTCACCTATTTAACTACTATTTAACGTCCATTGCTTTAATTAAAAGTTTTGTCAAAAGCTTAGCTTCTGATAAACAGGTAAAATTTAACAAGACTAGCCACCGCTACTTGTAGGCTGTAAGAAATTAAAGTATTTAAAAGTTCTACAGTACATAAGGTATTTTTAACGCTTCACTAACCCGGCTTCAACTATAGCCAGTTACTTTAAATAGGCTCTTCTCTTCCATTTTCGATCTTAACACAAGTCATCATCATTTCACAGCACCTTTTTTCTCTACTTTTTTTTTATTTTTTTTAGACTCTAGTTCAAGTCAGCCTTCAGTTTTGCTGTTTTCATGGCTCTAAACACAAATGAAGTGGGGACAAAAACAGTTAGGGTTCTCGACCATCTGCTGAAGCTGCTACCATGGTTACTAGGCAAACAGAGCGAAGAAAAGTGATCCTAAATTACCTATTCTAATGTAACAGACTATTGCCCAGCTCTAGTCCTGCTCGCTGACTAGAGCCCACGCAATATGCAAAGGTCGTTCATCAAAAATGCAGAACGGCTCCTTACTGGTGAGCTGTCTCTCTCTTTATCACTAACTTCAAATTCGTTCAAAACTCAGTTTATATTCTAGTGTTAGCCAAAGAAATAAATAGAAGATACAGAAAAGAACTGAAATCTTGATTATCCAAGCTCAGGTTTATTAACAAACTTAAACGGCACATAAACAGCCGGAAAGTAAAACCGATTGAAATTATCATTAAGTCCTGGAGATAACACAGACTTAAAGGTTAAAATCTAAAACTGATAATTCAAACATCACAATGGCAAGAAACGTCTGAATTAACAGGTTCCCATTGCTCTTTACGTTAGTTGCATGGTATACTCTGAAACTTCAATGAATCTCATTGCAAGCCCACTGTTTTATGAAATCACAACTACAATGGCTACTGAAGATTCTTAATCTTATTATCAGGTGTAATATTCTGAGCTTGTTCCCATCACAAAATAAATAAACTGGAACTTCAGAAATTATTTTGTGATGCTAATGAAAGATGTTGGCTTCCCAGAAAGGCAGGATTATATTGGTCTGCTGCTCTTTTTAGTGCAGGCTCAGCGGAAATACTCGTCACATTTTTATTCTATACGTAAGGAAACTTAAGTTACTTCTATACTTAAGTTACTTAGTACTTAAGTTCTTTTCTTAAGTGTAAACTTAAGTTACTTAAAAAGTAATCTCTGTATTTTAACACGCGAATCATTTTAATCTCTTATACAGTTTTAGAATAAAGCGTTTTTATGTGCAGGGATTCTGTTCTGATAACTCAACTAGTAACACTTCTTAACAAATTCATATTATTTTCTAAGCATGTTTTTTTAAGTGTCAGATTATTTTCATTTTCATTTATTTTTTCTTTCCAGCGATAGAGAAGAGGTATGTTCGGTTACCTTTTCCTAAGAATTCCCTCATCAGTGATTGTTGGTATGAGATTTGTTTTCCTGTTGAGCAATTTATGTTCTCTGTATTTAGCACCGAACTGTTTTCGAGAGCGGACCTGGAGGTAGAAGTTCAGTGCTATAAATGTGAATGCGAACAGAATCATAGTTTACACCCACTTTGCCTTGAAATCAATAGCCAGCACTTTTTCATAAAATGGGAAAACAGCGACATGGAGTCATTGGATGTTCGAAAGTACTTAGTTTGGGGCAAGAATATCTTATCCACTATTGCTCATAAATTATGCAAAGTGAGTATTATAAAAATAATGTCACATTAATAATGAATAATTCTAATATTAATATTATTAATATTCAATTCGATATATAATTAAACATCATCCTAGATAGAGAATTGATGTCGTCCGTATTTCTAAAATTTTGTTTCTAAGTAGATACATGCAGTAAAATTTGTTGATTCCAATGTACAGTTCAGTTCATGAAATTGGCAAAACTAAGCATTTAGCATAAAGAAAATAAATAATATAAACCTTTCTTAATTTTAAATTTATTTACTAGTAGCTACGCTACCAGCCTTCGTCTGGCTTTTAAATGTGCCGGAAAAATGCCTGAAAAGAATACCAAACGTTAAATTTTAAAACTGAGCAGAATTTTACTCTGCAGAAAAACTTCATCCAAAAAAAGAAAAAAATGTATTACGTGTAATAAAATTACAATGAAATAAGCAATATCCCTTAATACAAATATTAATTATCCTAATAAATAAATTAACCAACTTCCCGTTGCGTTCTCTCGACAAATGTCCAGTATCCAAAAGAAATATTAAATTTAAAAACTGCACAGAATTATCGCCCTTATTTTTCCAAGTGGCAACAGTGATGATTTTCAACAGTCAGCAGTCCAGTATACAATTGAAAATTGAATGAAAAACTGTTGCCAAAACACATTTCTAAAAGAATGAAAGTATTCAAAATGATGCGATAAATCAAAAAGATAAAATAAAAAGAAATTTGGTTCGAATTTTGAAAAAATCTCTTCAATGTGCACTGGCTCTTGTCTAGATGCACCAATATATCAAATTCCTTAGCCCTGGGTCTATTAGCTTACGCGCAGCGCAAACGAAAAACACACAGACTCTTTCTTTTACTATATGTAGAGATTATTTTTTTAATCACGTGGTAAATATGTTACTAATTTTATAGCCTGAAATTTTTAACAACAAACAAAGAAAATTTATAGTCACTGCTCTTATTTTCTTTTCGCATTACATTGTGATACTTATACAAAAGTGGAAGACGAAGTGACACGACAGGAACCTCAGTTTAAAGGATGGTTCTTTCTATTCTTTTAAAAGGCGCATGAAATTCCATAAGGAGATCAACAAGCCCATACGAACCAACACTGGATATTCTTATGCCGAACAGGATAAAACAGAAGTTTTTCCTTTCATTATAACACTCAGTCTTCGGATCCTATCCATGAGACTAAGATTGCGCACAGGAATCAGTAAGGTGGATCTCAACCAACATCAGTTGCCCACTGTCCTAATTCCACTACTTTTGATGAGATTTGCACTATTATCAGAGAATTAAATAGGCTTCTATTCTTGATAATATAAACAATAATATGCTAAATAAGCTACTGAGAAAAATTATTACCAGATTATGCAACATCTTCAATGCTTCTCTTTCTAGATCCTAATTGCCTACAGCTTGGAAAGAAGACAATATTATTTCTTTTTCCAGAAACAGAAAAGAACTTTGAATCTTCCGCCAAGTACAGTCTACTTTCTCCGTTTAATTAACATTTATCTATAAGCGAACTATCCTAACGAGACTCAAAACTGAAAAAGTACCAGATACCCTGTACGGTTTTCTGAAATGTTTGTAGAATATGATGTGACTGTTGAGGATAATGGAATTTATTGTTCTTTCCTTTACAGCAAAGAAAGCGACGTGCTTCTCATGTTAGAGATCAACAAAGCTTTTGAAAGCGTTTAGGATAGAACGACATTGAAAGGTCTCGTGGCATCGCGCTTATCGTTACCTTTCTGGATAACAGAATATTCCATGTCACACTGAGATGATCTTAATTCTACAAATAAGAAGATCAGGTATAGAGCACCTTAGAGTTCTGTTCTAGGATCAGTCCTGTACTTAACCTAGGTGCGTGATTTTCCCTCTTTCAGTAACAATAGACCCTGTCCCACAGAATCCTATGATACAAATAATCGTTGCGGCTAAATCAAAACGATTTAGTCGCAATCAGTTTTCTATGGCCGAACTTATGGAAAAAATCTCGGCATCGAGGACCGCTGTAAACATTGAATTGTGTCCATTAATGGGAAAATATCCCAGCTAACTATTAGAAAAAGTAGAGAAGAGGACGCAATCACAAATAAAAACACCTTCTTCCCGGATTCCCTCAAGGTGAAGAAGCTGATTAACTGGGAGTAGTCATAAACAAAAACTTCATTTCGATGGACCATATCAACACTATCAGAAGTAAGGCCTGTGGAATCATGATCAACATGCTGAACGTTAGCTGGCAAACGTCACATCCTTATAACATTAATAAGGTCAACCATAACATCGCATTCCTCGCTTGGTTGCGCCCTCTGCAAGTACTGCAAAATGAATTCCTAAAGATAATTGCGGGAGTTCCATTTTTTTTTTTTTTTTTTTTTTTTTTTTTTTTAGGAACGAGGCTCTTCATCGAAACTTTAAGCCACTTAAGAACACTATAAGGTATTAATGAGTAGTTTCTCGCAAAAATAAGAATTCTGGCATAATCAACATCAATCAAAAACTTAATTACCTGGTGATCTTCAATAACTATTTTAGGCCATACTCCACGTACCTGATTAAAAGCCTTTCCATGTGAATTTTAGAACTACGTTGCTCCATTCTAGACCCTTCGAAGGATTAACTCTCCATATTGTCTGCTGGCTTCCTTCTCTTTTCTCTTATCCGTCCTCAGCTGCCTTATTATAAAGCAGCTACAGATGTTCTCACCGTCGTGAAAGTATCAAAGTATCAAACAACGAAGGTAATCATTTTAGGCAGATTGGTTTTAGTTCATATTTAATCTGGAGTCAACAGCAACTTAAAAGTATTCTGGTATTTATCTTCATCACAATTAAATTTAATGCCGAAAAACAAGGTAAAGGAATTGGTATTTCATTTGTCTGGAAAACAATTGTTATCAGTTTGTAGAGAGTTCTTCGCAGCCAAAAAAAGTGAGAAATCAATTATACCCTCGAAGGCATTTGAACCACGAATCTTCCAATTACTAGCTGGACATATTATCTTTTACACCACAAGAGTACACGAGGATGATGCGACTATTTCTTACGAATTTGTCAGTATGCAATCTAAAATGATTTATGCAAATTAGCTGCTCTTATCCTCATTTGTGATTTACCATTCTACTTTTTATAGCACAACATAGCGCTCTTTCTTGGGCATCGTCCAGCCATCAATTCCGTCTTAAACCGCATCTTACCCAGAGATCTCCTTCCCTCTGTATATACTAGGAAACGAATCAAGAAGATAGTGCGTGGAGAATACTTCCTTCCTTTGTCACGTATTTGTCCGATCAGTAAAACAAAGATGGAGTTTCCAGTGAGATTTCCCGGGTGTAAGCATCTCAAGGTAATAAAATTTTATAAAACTTGAGAATCAGTGAGTATTTTGTGTCTTATTTCAGAAGTGATGAAAAGTTTGAAAAATTAGATGTGAAGCTAAACTACAGAAAACAAATTTTTCAATGCCTATAAAATTTCGTAACTACTGTTTACGCTAAACAAGCTAGTAAGGTTCAATTATAACAATACTACACATCTTCCCCTTTTATGTAAAATAACCCCTTTTCAAATATGCTTTTAGAGATATACATTGTATTGGTTCTAAAATGCCAACAATTTTTTTTTACATAAAATGCGTTTTCTAAAAATCTAAACGTTTTTCTAAAAAATGCTTTCCTGCTCAATCTAATACATAGAAAATATATCAAAATAAATTTTTAAAAAGACTTTATTTTGGCGTAAATTTGAATAAACTCTTTGGAAGCTTGATTAGATATAAGTCCTTGTTCTTTAAAATCAAGATCTTTTTTTTTTTTTTTTTTCTAAAATGGGTTCTTGGTTCCACCTTATGCCGCGATTATCGTGTGAACAAAAATTACTTGTTCCGGCTCTCTTAAATGGTGTCTCTATGGACGCATGACGGTAACAATTCTTTAACGGTGGTCCCTTACTGGATAAGGAAATGAAGGGACGCAAAAGAAGATACTTTGATACTTCTGTCATGCCAGTTTTAGAAAGAATTTTACTTGATGTTGTTATTAGAACCTCAAATAAACCTAATTACGGGCTGCCATACATACATTTCCTCATGGAAGACACCAATTTTGGCGAACTGCAGCGATTGGAGAAAGGTGTAATGGTGTATTTAATTATGGCAAAGCACACGAGGGCTATCTGTCTAAGAAGAGGGATGCCTTCGTGGAGGACTTTCTAAGGGAAACTGGCTCGTATACACGTCACACATGGGGAAAACCACGAAAACACCCATGAAGCCAGCCCGTTCGCGGGATTCGAACCTCGGACCGAACTACCAGTGTTCAGCGACTTTACCGCTCGGCCGCTGCGATTGGAGAAAGGAAATGAGGTCGTATGAACTTTTCATGCGCAGTGGGGTTATGTTATGTTATGTTATGAAGAAGTGAGGGGGCCACCTAATATTTACCCTAAGTAAGCAGGTATTAGCCCCACACACTAACTAGAAAACTAACAACATTCTGGCATAATTCCTCGAGTCGTGATGGAAATTGTGACTCCAGTGAGCCCTACAAGTACTGTCACCGGCGGCGGCATCAACGGTATTCCTAACCTTTCAGCGTTAAATTAGCTCAAGTAAGGGATTAAATTACATGATATACATTGCGATATAGATAGTTGTGCAGGTGCCCGCAATGCACGCCCGCAATGCACCCTTCTTCACGCACGCAATGCACCCTTCTTCACGCACGCAATGCACCCTTCTTCCATCATGCACTTTCGTCTTCGTCCAGCATTTGTTTGCACTGCCCCCAGCAGTCGCCTTGAGCACAATATGTATTTATAAGTGTGTCTTTTGTTCAAGTTATTTCCATCAGCGGGGCTACCTGGCCGATATGCTAACTACCCAGTGGACCGGCTGCCTCGCTGTCGGTGGAAAGAAAAGAAAGAAAGTTGTGCAGGTGTATATTTCAAGATGTTATCTATTGTAGTGGGTACAGGCAACATATTTCAGGACATTATATATTGCATTATAAACAGGCATGTTGTTTCCTTGTTACAATCATTTTTGTAAACATGATCTGTTTACTATCTGAATTAATTAAGAACTATAAAATTGCTTACAAAGCTTACATATAAGTACTTTCTAAAGTTGTGCTGAAACTTTAACAGCTCAATTTTGACTATTCATTATTTGTTTTAGCGCAGTAGGGTTGCACCACTTGCCTGCTGAGTGCTTCTTTTAAATATAAGCTTTGGACTTCTGTCTGAGGTTTTATCCCAAGTCAGTTATGTACTGGGCTCCCCCTTTTCTCTCCTGTTATTGTCTCATCTGTTGTTGTTTTAGAATCCATATTTCATGGAAGAATGATTCCCAGGCCTCAAGTTGGACGTTCCACCCCAATTTTGAGGGAGAGCACCCCGATTCAAGGGTCTCCTACCCCTCTTCCCTATCACCAAACCCATGGAGGTAAGCGGAGTATTTTCATGCCGCAAAGATACTGTACATTTACAAACATCTATGCCTTCTCTGGGATTCGAACCCGGGGACTTCGGGCCTCATCTGTTACCATTGTCAGTTGATTTATCATTTATCAAAGAACTTCTACGTGATGCATCTACATGATATTACTTTTACTGAGCTGCGCCCATTGCACTCTTTTGCTGTATATGCGGCTATACAAGATCAGTGAGTCAGTTACCAGTCATTCAATCCTCCCAAGGAAATCCCTACGGTCACGAATTTTTCGTCACCACTTGGCACTTTGGAAAAAATTTACTGAGCCGGTAAAATCGCCATTTCCGAGCGATAGTTCGGTCAAAATGTCTCAAGTACAAGTTATTCATTAAAAACTGAAATGGAAGTTGAAACTGCAAAGAGTAACAACTAAATATGAAATGCTCTAGAAAAACAGTAATAATTTCAAAAGTTAAATTTGTGATAAGCGTTCTTAGGCGACTGTGCAAAACAGAATTACAGCGTAGACATAATTTATGTAACAAAATGATAGACGCTATTTAAACTTAAAAATAATTTAGCTGAAATAATGATTTATAAACAAGCGAATTACTTTATGTTGAAAGTAGACGTGTGACTTAAATTAACGTCTGTTGTACTCTCATAATAAAGAAGAATAAAAACTGTAAAACACTACGTGAAATAAATATAAGTAGACTATAAGAAAAGAAGAAGCATTTATTGTTTATTTTTTCCGGACAGAATATTGTTGACGGTTCAGAAATTATTGAACTGTTTCTTGTTTATAATCAAATACTTGGTGATAATAAAATACAGTAATATTTGGATCAGATAAATTGGAAATTTTTCATAAACTAAGAAGTAAAATGTAAAGAATCCAAATTTAAGTTAAATATTTCATTTCAGATAAATTAAGACAAATGCTATAAAGATAAATTTATGCTTGCTTTGAGTTACTTTCTACTAGAAAGCCCGGGGGTTATACGAAATGACCGCTGTTCTAGATATTATAAATTGTAATTAAAATGATTTGTGCAAAGGTGTTGCTAATTCAAACTGAATTAACCAGGGCAGGCGGCGAGGAAGCCCCTTTGCTTACTGCCCATGGGGTTTACCCATTCTACTTGCTTTAATTGCTTAAAGTAGAGTGCAATGAAAGAAACCACTGGCGGTACATTTTTTAAGAGCCACCGCTAGCTCAATAAATAAAGGTGATTTAAACAATAAAAATATTAATTCAAATGTCAAAGATCTCTTTGTACACAACATTTCTCGTGTAGATCTTTCCATCATTTTAAAGCTCGCCTTGCAGAGGACCATCCATTTTTTTTAATTTTACGTCCGTTCTTTCACGAACTCTTGAAGAGGCAACATAAAGTTGAGCGTGTCCAAATGCAGGCTCAGGTAAAAAAATGCCAACACGCTTAAGCGTTCGGCCCTGAGACTTATTAATGGCCATAGCAAAGGCAAGTTTTACACGGAATTGTCTACATCTGAATTGAAACGGCAACCTTGTTTGAGATGGAGCCAAATCGATTTTTGGCATGACATAAGCCATTCAAAGACTTAACTATTATGACATTATTTTTCAATTGGAGAACCTCTAGTCTTGTGCCATTGCAAAGATCCCTTCTGGTGTTACGATTTCTTAACAGCATAATAATTGCTCCAATCTTTAACCTCTATTTGTGAGGTGGCACGCGAGAAGGCGACATACTATTTAAAAATTTCGTTGGAAAGTTGTTGGCACTTGCTTTATTATCAGCTACAATGGAATCAACACTTAAATAAGTCGTGTCGCGTTTTCTTCTATGATATTTAAGATATCATCATTTAGTTTGTCTATACATCAGAATTTTTAGGACACAATTTTGCCCTTTCACCAATTTCACTGATGTTTCCAGGCTGAATTTTATTACCAAAAACCCAATCCACTAAACTATCTTTGCATATCATTGACAAAGGAATCTCGACAACGTCTTCACTCAATCCATTATCATCAGAAAGAGTTCCATTTCCAAGTTTTAAAAGCCACTCACTATATTACGGTCATATAGGGTAAACACGTAAACAGAAGATGACTACGATTCCAGATGAAAGTTTCGTCTTCTGTGGAGATGAAGGTTCTAGTAATATTAAATATGAACGTTTATGTAATTTATGTTCATTTATGTTTGAGAAGTTCTGGTCGTTTGCAGAGGCTGTGGCTTCTAGATTTACGCTGTATTTATTTTTAAACACGTACATGCACTTAAACATAGCTATGTTTCTAAAAATAATATCATTATAAACATTATTTATTAACCGATTATACAGCTTAGAAATTTCTATAAATTCTGAATGAATTAACAAATATTGTGAACTGTCTGGAAGCGATCATCTCTTTAAGACGATCACTTCTGCAAGTGGCCAGTATTTACGAGGACGTAAAAAGATGTCGGTACTGAACATTAATTCGTTGAGATGGTCTCCACAGAAGATTGTAATCTAGAACTACGGCTGGTGGGCTTAAAGAAAATTCGCTTTTTATTTATTGTATATTTACTGTATGCCCCTTGGGTGGCTTAAGCGCTTCTATCCGGTTGTGAAAATTTTTGTTACTTGGTATACATTAGCTTACAATTAAAATTATTTTATTTTCTTACTATTTCTACTAATTTTAATATCATTTTAACGAAAGGAAATTTATAGTAATGGAGACTAAATAAATCACTATACAAATTTAGCTAATAGAAGCTATTTAATTGTATAACAGGCAGAAAAAAGTCCTCCTATAGAATGGTAAACTCCTTTGCAATTCTACTATTTCCTTGTAAAAATGGGCGTTCTGAAGGTTTAGCAAGCACGCTATTTTTGTGGACTTTCTTAATCGGAGCCTATATCTATACATCAATATAAAATCATTTTATTTTACACTTCTTAACTGTATTTCTTAATTAATTTCAGTGCTTCGACATGCTGAAATTTTTGGAATTAATAAGTGATATCAGAAACAACTGGGTATGCGCAATCTGTAGGTAAGCATCATTTATACGTATGATATAAGTCGCAGTGAGATTTGTTTGTATATAAGTTGGTTTCGTAATAGACTTAATTTTATGCAATTCGTAATTTGATATAGTAATCTATTAGCAGTGCCTTTAATCCTAATTCTGTGCTAACAATAGTGAGTTTCAAAAAAGTAAGTTTACTCGTGACTTACAAAACGTTCTTTATTAATCTTTTTTTAGAGCAAAGAGGCGTTAGCCCAGAGGGCTATTAATCTAGAAACGGTATTTTGCAGCAAAATGATAAAAGCATTGCATCACTTTTCAAATTGTTACCAACAAACATTATCACCCTGCATTATATTTAAAGAAATTAAATAATGAAGAATATGCATAAATATATGTAGTCTCTCGCATTGTGAAAGTTATATTTTAATATTTGCTGCGCTTGCAAGTACTTTTTTAACAACTTCTGTTTCTGCTAAACAGTCGTTTGTAATATTGGAGAACAGAAAAAGAACACCTTAATGCGAGTAATCGTATGGAAAAGCAAAAATATTAAATACGTGAGCGGAATTTCAGATGACTTCTATTTACACATGTTTTATTAGCCCAAAGGGCGTTAGCCAAGAAAATTGCTATTAATTTCATTTTGGCATTTTGCGTTGAAAACTTTAAATGTCCGTTTCACTTTTCAAACTGTTGCCACCAACTATTATAGCTCTGTATTATATTTAAAGAAATTAAATAATGAAGAATCTGCGTAAATGTATTTATGTTTCTCGCTGTGTGATAAAACAGCGGTACATAGAGCCATCAAATTTTGAATAATGTAATCCTCTACCGAGTTGGCATCTGGAAACCCTAATTTGGAATTTGTTTTATTATCGATTTCGTATTTTGTAACAATTTAGAGAATTTTGATTAACAAACTCAATGATTTCAAAGCGATCAATAGCAACATTGTACAGGAAAAAAAAAAAAAAAAAAAAGTATTTTTATCTCTAGCGCGCGAGTCTGTGTATTGGAAATTCTAAAGATATGCTCTTTTAAATATTTTGCGATATTGCTGTTGAATTGAATTTTATGATTTAAGTGCGAAGAACATGATAATTAATAAATAAAGGTAGCACACAAAACGTTAAAAAAAAGCCCCTATGGGTGTAATACAAAAGCTAAAATGCCTACAGATTTCCTCCCTTTTTTTTTAACCTGGTATAGCTATATTTTGTGAATAAATATTCAATTGTTATGATATCTAATTTTATAGGATTATAATTAAAATTGTTTTACTTCCCCGTGCAATGCAGTGCGGGATAAATTTTAAGAGAAAGCTACGCCGAAAAAGTAAAAATATAACATTTAACATTGAATAAATAGATATCTCTTTCATTTGTATTGAAATTAAATAATTGTAATTGACTACCGTGTTAGCTGTAACCGTAATTCTACTCTTTTTGCTTTCTAGAAATCTCGAGAAGCAAAGAAATTACTGGAACTCTCTTGCAACCGATTTAAAGCTACAGAAACCCAAACAGAGAACATCTCGTCTCAGTTGTTCAGTTAGCTGCTGTTGCTATTGTTTAGAGTTCAACAAGAAATCGGTCAGCTTTCTCTTTGCATTGCGTTACATTTTAACGTTTTTAGTAGTTTAAAGCATGGCTACTGATTATATTGCGTGATATTGTGAAACTGTACGAATATCCCTGTGGAAAAATGCAGCGTTCTGCTATATCGCTTTTGATAAGAATAAATTTCATTAACCTTTTATTGGACTTGTGCATTCAATCTATTACGAACCCGTACACACGCAATAATATTGTTAGCATTTCGTTTTCAATACATGTACATCACATCTACCAATTTTCGTCCTAATTCAGATAACTCCACCTAAGTTCGTTGCTTTTTATCTTATAGAGCTATTTTTGGATTGAATGCGTCGTTTGCCATTTCTTTTCAGGCTACATTTAGCACGAATTCTTATATTTGAGGGCCACTGTCTTCACGTTAACCGAATAGCAACTACTTTCTGATATTTTTTTATACATTTTTAAGATGATAGATTGTAGCGTCAGAAAATCTTTGTTTAATATAAATTTAAATGAGTTTTTTAATAGTTTTAACGGCAATTATTTAAAATGGACTTTTATTTCAGCTTAAAACCTGCAGTAAAGCGATTTGAAGTGGATGAATTTTTGTGGAACATTTTAAATAAAATTCAGAAGGAAGGAGAAATCGTCATTGTGAATGTAAAGGGAGCAATGGGACATGAAGGATTTTGCAGCTGCCTTGAATATACGTGAGAAACGACGAAGCCAGAACTGGGGTAATGGAACTGTGCTCTTGTTTGCTATGTCAGTTGCTTAACATATTTTTTATTTGAAAGTGACTTGTTAATCAAATTTTGATTTAATTCCATGCAGTTTTACCCGAACGAATTTTAGTGAGTTATTTATTGTATTTTACAATTATTTTTGTAATTTTTTTCAACAATTTTATTGCATTTCATAACACAGTGAAAATATCTGAAGGAAGAGTAGCTTAATTTGCAATTTCATATCTTAAATCATTTATAATTTTGATTCATCATATTTAAACAGTTAAAATAGTTCTTTATCTCTTGTGCTTAAGTAGCTATGATGTATATTTTTGTTTTGTAGTTAGTTAAAAATTCAGTTTTATCTTTTCTAGAATACCATGCCTTAACCATGCCTAAAAGAGAATTAAGGCATTAAGACCCACCATAGAAATAACCTGTTTAACAAACTAAGTGATTTAAACACAATACCCTCCGTAATGATTCAGATCTTTATTTTATTTTTAATAAAATATTTTATTAATATGATTCAAAATATATTGAATTGTTAATAAATATAATTGATAATTCAGAAGACTTGAGGAATTATTCTGATTGGCAAAAATATTTTTAACGCCAAACGCTATGCAAATCGGCACAAAACTATTAGCTTTATGAATTATTATTGCAAATAAATATTTTTTGTCACTGCTGCTTCGTCTTGATTTCTTAATGAGAAGTCATCATAGATATTAGGTTCCAAACCTAATACGTAATATACTTATTTATGAAGTACGTCAGTAATATACTACTAATGAAAGCTTGTGTATGAGCAGCGCCGGATCTTTGATTTTTCTGATGTGGGGCAAAAGCTAAAACTGCCGCCCTCACCCATCGTCCTTTAAGTTTCTCTAAAAAGTTTCAATTTCCTTAATAAATACAGAAATAGGTAGGGTTTGATGTAAAAACCTAAGCTCCATTACATACTAAATTCTTAACGTGCCCCCCCTTTTTTTGGCTATAAAGGAAAAAAACGTAACGAAGTTACATAATTAGAAATTCGTCCCCTCCCTAGGAGAATCGCCTTTCTGGTGAGCTTACTTTCGGATTCAAGCCTAATCCTAACTCTAATCCTGAATGCCTCTAACCCTCCAGTCCTCGCCACCATTCGTTTTCCGTTCTAGGGTCAACGGGCAACCCCTAAGCTTCTCACTATTCTGTATTATTGCATTACTGGTAAATTAGGTTGGGTTAGATTATATGAATATGGCAAAGACAGGAGGGCTACTTGCTTAAAGGAAAGATGCTTTCGTGGAGGAACTTTTTAAAGGAAACTGGCTCGTATTCACATTACACATGAGGAAATCCACGAAGAGAAACCATGCAGCAAGCCCGTTCTTTTGGGTTTGAACCCAGGCAAGGTCGAACTACCAGTATTCAGCGGTCTTAATCCCTCGGCCACTGCTCAGGACATTTGTTTGATTATTTACTAATCGTTTCTCCATTAGGCACTGCATGGAAAGGGAGGAATGCCCTGTGGGAAAAATTTTTGAGGAGACTGACTGGTATCTGCTTAGAGGAGAGGTGCTTTCGTGGAGGAACTTTTTAAAGGAAACTGGCTCGTATTCACGTTACACATGAGGAAATCCACGAAAACAAACCATGTAGCCAGCCCTTTCGAGGCAAGGTCGAACTACCAGTATACAGCGATCTTAATCACTCGGACACTGCTGAGAACATTTGTCTGATTATTTACTATGTGTTTCGCCATTAGGCTCTGCATGGAAAAGGGAGGAATATCCCGTGGAAAAAAAAACTATGCAGGAAGGAAACTGGCTTGTATCTATGTTACACACGGGGAAAATCACGGAAATACTCATACAGCCAGCCCAATTCACCTATACTTGACCCATCGGACCGAACTACTAGTAGGGCTCAGCGGCTTTTATTGCTCAGCCACTAATGGAACCATTGCATACAAAATATGGGCTATCGCCGAAAGGAAGTATTCTGAAACGATTATACAGAATATGGGCTATTACTGAGAGTATTTGTGCTTCCTGTCTTGTTTTTTATACTTCTATTTCATAAGTAATTTTAAGTTCTTACCTGCCTTAACGCTATTAAAATATCACGGAATTAGTAAAGGAAATTAAAATTTTACACTGTAAGCCTTTTGTTCTTCAAATAAGTGCATGGAATCGTGATAATTTGATCTGCGGTTTGATTTTCGGTTGCCAGAATCGCGAGACTTGATAAACGCTCTTGCTCACCGATGATCGTAGATATTTTGTAATATGTTTTAACTTGCTGAAACTTCGATTTGAACAAGTTGAAGTCTTCGTGATTTGTCCTAAAACAGTTCATCAGATTGCTTTTTGTGCTTTTGAATTCTTTATTTGTCAGAAAAGACTCAACTGCAATTTTTTCGGCTACTGTTTTAGACTCTTGTATCCAATATTCCATAGGATTTTTCTCTCATTTTTTTATAATTTCTCAGGTTTGGTCAGTGCTTTCGTTAACTACACAGAACGCGGAAGAGGAATTCCTTTTGAATTTCTATATTTACTCGATTGAATTCTGGAAAAATATTTGCTCAAATTTCAGGTTGAGTAAATTCAAATATTTTACAGCATGTAACAGATGTCCTACCTCATGCTTTGATTCCGCATCAAGAGAAATATGTTTAATTTCTTTTAAATATTTCCGGCAAATTCATTAGAAGGACTTTCACAGCTACATATTTTTCCGACCATATCGTCTGGCTGCTTCCTTTTAAGTTGTACTTTGTACATTTTTTAATAATATACTACCGAGTAGTGCATCCGACAAAAAAGCGAAGTATTTTCTGAGTAATTCCAAACAGATTAACTGCTTCCGGGCACAAAGAAGCAGAATGCATACTGACAAAATACGAGAGGTGAGCCAAACATGGCACAAATTCATCCAGCTTATTCATTACTGTAATTCTAGCTTGTACTGTTTTAGAAATGCCAGCCATATTAGACCCGTTGTCGTAAGACTAACATCGACATTGTCCAATATCTAAACCATCAAGTGTCAATTAAGACACTAATTTTCTACAATGCGTTCAGAAATACATTCTCCTATCTTTCCACCAACTTCTATGAAATCAATTAAATTTTCCTTTATCTCACACAATCACCACACGTTTTTACGTATTGAGTTACCTAGTTCATTTTTTTCTGTGTGAGACACATATGGGGTAAATATGATTCCTTTCCCTTTGTTAGGTTTTTACTCGTTAGGTGCTTGTACTTAAGATTTGAATTATGTTTGGCAAGCGGAGAGATTAAATTCAGAAAATTTCTTTCGCTAGGTCGAGGACACTTTGTGAACAGGCTACTTGGGATTTCATCAGACCCAAGAAAAGAACTACAGATTGTTGAAAGATATAGTATCGCATCATGACTATATAGAATTTTTCTTCATTTTTCTTTCTCTGTATGAATGAGTCACTCAGTGTCGTGATCGATGTCTTGGTACGATTTCATTTGTTGTACTCGAATTTTCCACTTAATCATGCACCTCTGTGAATTCCAGACGCTTCGCGCTCAGTTAATCTTGCTAGAACTTTTTTCCAATTAATGAATCCTGTTGTATGGTGTAACGGCAACAGTATTATGTTTCTGATAAATCTTGCAGGGTGTACAAAAAATTGCATTCTTGTTTTTAGAATATGTAAACCAAGATCTAAGCTTTTTATTATTTACTAATGTTCTGTATAACATGTCAAATGTCTGCCATGACGTTCAATGGGATTGAGGTTTACGTTTTCCCGGATGTTTACCAGCTAATAATACTGATTGACTGCTTAAGAAAGATTGTTGGTGACCGTTCATTTTTTTTCTATGACCAGCCAATTGCATGCGTCCAACAAATCAAAAATTTTTAGTTTTTCGTCTTTCTGCTGCCCGCTCCCATCTAAATGAAGAGATCTTTATATTATCTTTATATTATCTCCCATCTAAATGAACAGATCTTTATATATGTCCTTCAGCTATTCGTTTGATGTCGATGAAGAAGATTATTCTTTCAAATGCTGACTTGTAGATTGTTTGGGGATGATATAAGCAGTCATGTTTGATCTTGCAAATTGCAAGAAATATAAATTCCCTCTAGAATCTCAGCACAATCGGAAACTCGGCAGGATCTGACGTGAAGTTATTTTTTCATCTTAGCTGAAATTTGTTTTCTTGTTTGGCCTTATCTTTGGCTCTTTTTCTGTATTCCGCTTTTCTCCTCTCGACGCGCAGAGGGTTTCCTTTTAATCTAAATGAAATTCACTATGAATTGCCTTAATAAGAATAACTAAGAATTGACATAATTACACTGAACAGTCCTAAATAAATGGTCGTGTTTCGATAAATATAGTGCGGGCTATTAAAAGCAAGCATATCTTTAAAAAAAAAAAAAAAAAAAAAAGGTGCAAGAAACCTGAAAACTAAAAAAAAAAAAAAAGAAAGAAAGAAAGAAAGAATAAATCTAGCTTTAAAATCCAACCTGCGCTCCACCGTTAAGAGTCAAACCAAAGGTGAGCCTAAATTGCCAACTGGCTGCAAAAAAATCTAAATGCCTTGCTTCAGCTTGAAGACATAATATCTGTGTCTTGTATATACTCGATGAATATTAATTTGATTTATTTCATTTGTCCAAGATGGCCCAAAGTTAATTTTTTGGATTAGCTCTTAAAAAATAGTTATAATGCTTCTCCATTTCCCAGCAGACGTTGCTATGGGAACCAGGTGACTTCTTCTATCTATCGTTCTATTTATTATTTGAATACGCCCGGCCTAGACAGCAAATGATACAATGATTCCAGATGTTACTGATAGGGTCAGTCTGATTCTATCAGTGACGCCTGGAGTCCCTCTATTGGCCCCTTTCTGATCCTGTATTTATAGTTGTAATCGGCTGTACTTTATTTTAACTCATGTTTCTTTAAAAGGGTTCTTAGTATTTAATTATAAATCTTCTTAAAACAGGTTTTTAAACTTGGCCTTAAAACT